TCATCCATCATGAAAACAAATTAATACAGATTTGTTGTTATCAAAGCTTTTGTCAAAACTAGCATTGAAATACTTTGCTGATTGAATTAAGGACAAGACATCAATTAGTTTGGATACAACCAGCTGATTTATGACTCGAAATGGCGCTCTGGCAGCTCTTGGCGTGAGTTCTACATACGTCTGAAACAGCAGAAGCCACGATATATTGATGAAGGATGCACACCACTCATAGTACTCTCATTCCATCACGATTTATGATCAAAGGCATATCCATGTCCAATGTCAGAATGGTTGGGGAGTGGGGGTGGTTGGCAGTGTATGTGTGTATATATATATATATATATATATATATATATATATATATATATATATATATATATATATATATATATATATATATATATATATATATATATATATATATATATATATGTGTGTGTGTGTGTGTGTGTGTGTGTGTAAGGCAAAGCTTTTAGACATAAATAATTGTATTTTTCGCAATTGTGTGACCTGGTCTAAACTAGAATTTAAACCTCACCGAATGAACTAACTTGATAAGAAAAATGCAACCTAATGAAAAAATGAAGAAAAAAAAAACCACGCTAGGTTTACAACGCATAAATTTATCCAAGCACAGTATTTGTTGGTAGTAAATAATAACGGATATGACAATGTTAATTAGACACCATTATTTAACTCTCAATCTCATCTAGTTTTCAATAAGGACTATTTCAGATCAAAATGATTCGCCCTATCTATGCAGGTGTCCATCAAATCAGTTATATTTATCGTCAGTATAATATACCCCTATAAACTGTGAGAAATACAGTCTGGGGTTAATGAAGCGAAGAGCGGGATCAAAGCCTATAAATATACATCTGTAGATTTCAACTGCTTCTCGTTGTTTGAAGTTCATCAATTCACAGTAGAGCGTAGACCTTTTTAGGCACGGTCCTGTAATGTGTGAATCTTTTTTTACACCCCTATATCACATGCACGCCCACCGTGGGATAATAAAGTAACACTAATGAAAAGAAGGAAGGGGAATCCAGGACGAACAAATCTGCTTGTAATTTATGAATCAGAAGTGATCCCGTGATTATTTCTTCTCCTTTGACATGGTCTTTGATGTCTTTCTTAATTTAGGAAACACAGAATAATATCTACTTTTTGTATTTACGGATATAAAATAGTTTATACAAATATTTTCATCATGGTAGACTTCTTAGTGTTGATTTTATTGCGTTCACAAACCATACAGAATCCGATTTAAACTTACCGACGGCTTTTTCTGCTTTACTATTTTTTGGATTCTTCATGCGAGACTTTTATACAAATGTTTTCTTGAGCAAACAATGGAGAAAATTATGTTGACTGGAAACAAATAACAATGCTATTTTGGAGGCTCATCACAAAATCATTGACCTTAAATCGTCAATCCTCAGTTTCAGTTTATATTTGCTGATGTTTTTATCACGGTAGTCTTACGTTTGCCCCTTCATGTCACAAAAAGCTTTTAATGAAGCAGTTGTTTTGCAATTAGACGTATGCCATGATAATTTCCAGCTGAGAAGGTCTTAGAGTTTTTAATTTCATCAAATATTTTACTTTTGTACCCATTCTAAACTTTATCTTAATTTTTGGTACTTTTACTTTTGGATGCCCAAGCTTACTGGGCACTGTATAGCTAGGATTTTGCCACGCATACAAGCATTAATTATTTTTTTTTTAAATACGAACGATTTCTGAATATGAATAATCTTTGAAATCCTCTTCCTAAAAAAGGAATACACCGGCATTCTACGGGGAATACAAGAATGTAAACGAAAACAAATAAGATAACTAAATATGTGCAATTCAAGATAATGGCAAATTAGTTCTAGTCTGATCTGAAAGCTCATATTAGATTAGACGCGCTATTACATATTTAGATTCATTGCTGTTATGGATGACGTCACCTAAGATCTATCCAATATATTTACGCTATATTTAGACGCAATATTCAGTGGCGAACGATGGTTAGTGTCGACTTGTGAGGTAACGTATGGTGTCACCCCCATGGAACTCCTTCCTTCACAAAAATTCAAGAATGTTATAGATAATCATGTGCTGTAACTCATGGTGTTACCCCACGGACTTCATTCCTACACAAAAATTTGAAACATTTAATCATTTGATGTCACCCACTCTGATAATGTCACCCGGAGAAGTCCGCCCCCTCCCCGCCCCACCCCCCACTAACGCCACTGGCAATATTCAATAAGTAGATGGAGAGAGTTAAAGTAACGACAAGAATATAAAAAGTTATTTTGTTAATAAATAATTGCTTAGGATATATGAAAAACCACATTGTCAGTACAGACATTTGAACTGCGTGCTTCTATCACTCTTATTTGATATGGACATCAGATCATGTTCGACCATTCTGTATCAAACAAGACGCAATACAGAAGACAAGATCAAGTTACAGTGCTCATAATCCGTATGTACAATCAATCAACCTCACAAATACAGACATCAATAATCATAAATATAAAGGCGGTAGACTAACAACTAGAGTCAACATTATTCTGCATGATTGATGTATTTTAACATGCCAACTTACTAATCATACAAAAAATTACTATTTCCATATATAACAGGAGGAAACAGACTTAATATGTATGTCTATAAATGTAGGAGGAAACAGACTTAGAGCTTATGGGTAATACTAGGAGGAAACAAACTTAGTACATATGGGTAATACTAGGAGGAAACAGATTTAGGGCTTACGGGAAATACTAGGAGGAAACAGACTTAGGGCTTACGGGTAATACTAGGAGGAAACAGACTTAGTGCCTATGGGTAATACTAGGAGGAAACAGACTTAGGGCGTATGGGTAATACTAGGAGGAAACAGACTTAGTGTGTATGGGTAATACTAGGAGAAAACAGACTTAGGGCTTACGGGTAATACTAGGAGGAAACAGACTTAGGGCTTACGGGTAATACTAGGAGGAAACAGACTTAGGGCTTACGGGTAATACTAGGAGGAAACAGACTTAGTGCGTACGAGTAATACTAGGAGGAAACAGACTTAGAGTTTAGGTCTATACATGTAGGGGAAAACACACTTAGGGCTTAGGGAAAATACTAGGAGAAAATAGACTTAGAGTTTATAGGAAATACTTGGCTGAAACAGACTTCGGTCTTATGGGAATTACTAGGAGGAAACAGATTTACCGCTTATGGAAAATACTAGGAGGAAACAGATTTAGGGCTTCTGGGAAATACTAATAGGAAACATGTAGGGCTTACGGTAAATACTATGAGGAAACATATCTAGTGCTTATGGGAAATACTAAGAGGAAACAGATTTAGGGCTTACAGAAATACCAGGAGGAAACAAATTTAGGGCTTATGGGAAATACTAGGAGGAAACATATTTAGTACTTATGGGAAATACTAGGAGGAAACAGATTTAGGGCTTACGGGAAATACTAGGAGGAAACAGATTTAGGGCTTACGGGAAATACTAGGCGGAAACAGATTTAGGGCTTATGGGAAATACTATTAGAAAACATATTTATGGCTTACGGTAAATACTAGGAGGAAACAAATTTAGGTATTATGGGAAATACTAGGAGGAAACAAATTTAGGGCTTATGGGAAATACTAGGAGGAAACAAATTTAGGGCTTATGGGAAATACTAGGAGGAAACATATTTAGTGCTTATGGGAAATACTAGGAGGAAACAGATTTAGGGCTTACGGGCAAAACTAGGAGGAAACATATTTAGTGCTTATGTGAATTACTAGGAGGAAACAGATTAAGGGCTTATGGGAAATACTATTAGGAAACATATTTAGGGCTTACGGTAAATACTAGGAGGAAACAAATTTAGGTATTATGGGAAATACTAGGAGGAAACAAATTTAATGCTTACGGGAACTACTAGGAGGAAACAGATTTAGGGCTTACGGGAAATACTAGGAGGAAATAAATTTAATGCTTACGGGAAAGACTAGGAGGAAACATATTTAGGGCTTACGGGAAATACTAAGAATAGTACACATCTCTCTTGACTATTGTATTCCCAATGTAATATGTCTAAAGAAACATTTTTCAAACGACAACTATAAATACTGCTAGTTGACATGTAATCGCTATAGCTTAGTGGTTGAAGTGTTGGACTCGTTTGCTGAAGGGTGTGGGTTCAATCCGATCACCTCAGAATGGTTGCCTTGGTGTGTCCTTCGACAAAGGTACTTTATATTATGACTACATTAACATTATATATCATAAAAGTGTTGATGTGCAGTAAAATACGGAAATGACAAAATCCATATCACACCAGTTGCCATGGTATTTTTTTGAAACTAAATTAAACATATGGTCATGGAATATTTAATCTTGATTCCTGCAATAGTGAGTGGCTTTCATTCAATATTGAAAATTAATTTCTAAATAGTTTAACACCTTCATTTAAATTATACAAAATCTTATTTTTTATTTTAAAGAAATCATTATATATACACACACACACACACACACACACACACACACACACACACACACACACACACACATCTGACCGAAAGGAGTAGTAGTAATAACTGGTTCGCCAAAGACATACAGTTTCTAACTGGAGATTACTTTTGCTTGATTCCTAATTGTAGGCTTTAAAGCACAGTAAAATGTAAAGTTTTCTTTAACATTAAAAATTTAAACCAACCCAGACACTATAACAAGGCAGTTATGATATCAAAAGCTTCGTTTTCTCTCGCTCACTTCCCTGATTGGATTAGCGATTTTATTATCTCAATTAGATACATGATTTTTTTTTCCCCTATTATTTTAAATTTACTTTCGCCATCGCTTCATTTTAAACAAAAATTTTATCTGGTTTTCTTGGATCCCGATGATTTTTCAGCAACACAAGCAAATGTAGTATAACGCACATCGACAGTAACTGAAATTTGTCCGATACTTATAAAACCCCATACATAATAAATAGTATATATGGATCGCTCCGATGTTAGTGGTTAGAGCGTCCGCCTCAGATGCGGGATGTCGTTGGTTCGATCCCGGTCGAGTTATACCAAAGACTTACAAAAGTGGTACTAACAGCTGCCTCGTCTTTCGCTCAGCATTAAGATGTTAGTGTTAGGACTGGTCGGCCTGGTGTCAGGATAATGTGACTGGGTGGGACATCATGCTAAATGTCTGCGGCATGATGCCCCAGTGCTAGACATCACTATAAAAATTGCCTCACTGCAGACATCGTAGCGATATGACTGAAATTTTTTTTAAAAACGACGTTAAAAATTATAAACACCACGACACCACACACCGTAGTAATATGATTTACCTCATTCCATGCAGACTTTTGAAAACCAAAGGTTGTTACTGTGGTTGACATTGTTTAGACCACGAAACATTACTTTTCAGTAAGACTTGCATAAAAGCTAAAACCCAGGATTCCAGATTTAGACCCTTTTCATATTATAATTACCATTTAGACCATCTGTCTACTTACCCTATTAATGGAAGCTATTTTGTAGCTTTGTTATGATCACGGGTGCTAAAAAAATTCTCGTTTACATTTGAATCGTTATATGTTGGTGTTTGCATTCGTTCATTATGCCAAGTTTGAACACATTCTGCTTTTCTCTGTATTGGATCCTACAAATAAGATACACACAGGATTACGAACAAACCATCGTAGCCATGTCGAGGTCTCTTAGTGATGAAATCAAAGGATCCTGGTCACCATCTGTAAAACTCATCAGAGCACACCTGGCAAAGCCTAACTTAAAGCGATTAAGAATCGCACTAATCGTTATTGCTACAATGACTTTATTGGAGCAGTCTTTTGTTGTCGATATTATATTCTGATCTTCATGCATAACGCTAGAAATTAGTCTCTCTCTCTATTTTAGTCGAAAAAGCCACTGGACCGGACATTAACGGACACTAAAATGCAGAACTAAATATCTTTCTTGAAGTGAATATTATTTTCATTTAGTTCTCTCTCTCTCTCTCTCTCTCTCTCTCTCTCTCTCTCTCTCTCTCTCTCTCTCTCTCTCTCTCTCTCTCTCTCTCTCTGTCTGTCTGTCTCTCTCTCTCTCTCTCTCTCTCTTGTAATTTATGAATGTTGTAATGTGAATTCAATATGCATCAATGTTGTACTGTGAATTTAAAATGTATCAATGTTGTGATGTGAGTTTAAAATGTATCAATGTTGTCATGTGAATTTACTGTGTATCAATATTGTATATGTATGAATATTCAATGGTGAATTCGATATTTATCAATGTGGTCATGTGAATTTAATATGTATTAGTGTTATATTGTGAATTCAATATGTATTAGTGTTGTAATGTGAATTATCTTGGGATATGAATGTTATGTGTATAAATATTCAAATGTGAATCAGTATGTACCAATTTTGTAATGTAAATTTATTTATGTATCAATGGTGACATATGAATTCATTATGTATCCATGTCCTGATGTGAATATTAATATTCAATGTTGTAATGTGAATTCATTGTGTATCAAGGTTGTAATGTGAATGAACAATTTAGGGATTTGTAAACAATGTTTCCATGAAAATGTATCATTCTATTGAATAAACCTCGTCACAAAAAGTAACAAACCCCAAAACAAATGTTGAATCCGTCATAAGTGTCGAGAAAACTATTAATTCTCTCTCTCTCTCTCTCTCTCTCTCTCTCTCTCTCTCTCTCTCTCTCTCTCTCTCTCTCTCTCTCTCTCTCTCTCTCTCTCTCCTCTCTCTCTCTCTCTCTCTCTCTCTCTCTCTCTCTCTCTCTCTCTCTCTCTCTCTCTCTCTCTCTCTCTCTCTCTCTCTCTCATGCTACTTTGAGTTGGGAAAAATTCCGTAAACAACCAGAGGCAAAATTGATGTGGATAACTTTTATTTTCATCGTCTCAGATAGGTGACAATAGAAGCCAGCTACAGTCAGTCAAGCCAATTGCTATTTAAAGATAACGATACGGTGTCGGGATGTGGTGTTAACTTTTACGCATAATATTGGCAGTTAATTTTGTCATCACTCAAACATAAACTGAACATGACTTTGAGCAAAATATCAAGACTGATATTCACACAGTTTTGCCACCGAAAATAACCTTCCCTTATTAATATTTACAACGTGTTAACATGGCGGTTTGAGCTCAGGTTTGAAGAAATCTCTTGGCATGGAAGGGGTTATCGCGCCGTGGGTAAACTTTATTGTATGGTCTCGTATAGGCGACAATACCCACACACGACAGTCGGGCTGACTAATTGCTATTTGAAGCTAAATTCCGAAGAAAATTATTTATCTTAATCGATTCCTAATGCCATCTTACCGGTGCATCTTAGTGTCCGTTAATGTCCGGTCCAGTGGCTTCTTGTTCGACCAAAACTTGAAAATTTGGAAGGATGCTCGTGTTTAGTAAATTTAAAGTGTGCTGTGCATTTTAAATGCCAAATTATGTCACTGGGACAGATGATTTGATTAATTATTATCAGTTAGTCATTTCATTTTTCTGCTAGTGTTTTCTTTCTCTGACAAATGTAATATATAAGAAATTACTTTCGCAAACTGTATTCATAGAGGATTAGCTTTGCTTACGCTGTTTTTAATGAAGAATTCACTGGGTAATAAAGAAACAATTAATCAGTGGCAAAAGGAATGGGTTCATTTTTCTGCGGTTGAGGTGTCTTGATTTAATGGCCGATATTATTAACATCGAGGGCACTTTGATATGTCCTAGCCCGTCAAAATAGAATTCGATGGCCTTTGACTCGATCCGAGCTTTGGCAAATGAATGAAAGACAGACCTCCTTTGGGTTTATAACACGCAATAACTCGTCGAATTCATCGAATTAATATCCAATGAAAGTCGGTCTGATTCCGCGTTAAAAAGACATTAATCCAAATTAAGTTCAATCGATTAAATTCGAAAACGATTAGATCTCGACCTGCAGGGTTCGCGAGACCTAGCCAGGACGGGACAAAAGTGCACATTTAGTCATTACCGTTAATACTTGACCATTTGGATGTTTAACAAAATTACCAATAAATTGGCGATGCTTACTACAGAGGGGTCTTACGGTGCTTTCACAAGTGCCAAGTAATTCACTTTTCTCAGTAAATTAGAATCTTTAATTAATAAGATACTTGACTCGGCCTGTGATGACAGAGTTTATTGTCCGCAGGAATGTCGGCTGAAGGGGATTAAAACGTTTAATTCTCGCTGCTAGGACAAAAACATGAAGTGCCAGCAGATGACCTACGCCTTTTATCTCTCACTTTCTTTCTTCTGTTGTTCATCTGTAAAGACTACTGCTTTTTACGCAACGCCAATGAAAGTGAGCGTCATATGTTTATCAAAGAAATTGCAGCCTCTGTAAACACCAACAGTAGATGCTGAACTTTTTCGGAAATTTTTGTTGTTCTGCACCATCAACAAAACCCAAAACAAAAGCCCTCTTATATTTCAAACACGGTGATAAAAGAGAAGCAAAAGATATTGATTATAGCATGATGAGGACATTTAACACTAAAAGCGTAAAAACCGTCAAGAACTAAGAAATTCTCACCTTGATCTTTCAAGCGTTGGGGATTTCTTCTTCTTTCCTTTAATAATGCTCTTGAAATTTATTGCCTCACGCACATGGGGACAAAATGGCCAATATCCGGATACCCCCACAAAACAACGTACAAAGAAGTCTTTCTCGAATACCAAGATTCTTTTAATCAACTCAAATTCGTTGAATGGAAAGAACATATGCGATTACTAAGTCCAGCATGCCGGAATAGAGTGGATTATGAATAACAACACGTTAATCAGGAATAGATCCTTTTCCAATTCGTGCATTCATTGCTAAAGGATTCTGTATAATCTTCGACAAGATAATCGAGCACATCTGAACAGACCCTGAATTTAAGAAAGAACTTATTCTCAGTAAGAATAAGGGAAAAAAATTATATAACTTTATTTCAGTAATGTCCACTCTGGTCCTTTTTCAACTTTTTTTTTATTGAACAGAGATTATAGAAAACACTGCATCTGATGTGTCATTTACTGTTCGTCTGTCAGATAAGAAATATATGCTTATGTTTGTTTGAAAAAGGTTTCATATTATTCGACCTTTCGTAATTATTTCAATATTTTACAAACTTTGCTATATTTAATTATCTGAGGAACTACTACTACTAAGAGGATTCAGCGAATGTGGATATGTGAGAAAGCTTGCCAGTAGCTTCTCGTGGGTCGGTGGTTCTTTCCGGTGATTTCCCGGTTTCTTCCTCCACCATTAATACTGGCCGCCATGAATAGCCTATCGTGTGCTGAAAAATGGCGTTAAGCTCAACAACAACAACAACTACTACTACTACTACTACTACAACTACTACTGCTACTACTACTACTACTACTAGTACTATTACTTATTATTATTATTATTATTATTATTATTATTATTATTATTATTATTATTATTATTATTATTATTATTATTGAAATCGTTTGTTGTGAATGGTCTCTTTGTAATACTTTAATCATCGTCCTTATATAAACATTGTCCCAAATTGTCTATTGAACTTTTTTAAAAATTGTGCAGATATATCTACTGAAGTGATTCACAAAATTGTCCAGGTTTGTTTATTGAATTGGTTTAAGTATTGTCTACATAGTTTATTATAATGGTTGCAAAATTGTCCAGAATGTTTATTGAAATGATTTAAAATTTCCCTTATTATCTTTTGATATGATTTAACACTGTCTAGATCAGTGGTGCACAATACATGCATACACATATACCCAATACACGTATGAAATTAATTCTTATAAAATGCAAGCTATTTCTGTCTGATTTTACTCCTGTTGGTCAAAGACTGGAAAATAGACGATAAAATAAATGAGGGCCAAATATGGGATCTAGCAACATTTAGAATGATCTTGACTTTGATGGATACATTGCTGTTCAGGTACACAGTATGATCGACATTCAATAAAACAACAGTAGATGCAGGACGCACAAAAGATATAAGGAAAAGAGAGTTTTTACGAACAAACAAGAAATTTAC